AAGGGGTGTTGCGCCATCAGGCCTATGCCTCTCGTAAGTCTCCCACCATCTGAGTGCAACCCCAGAATACTGAAAGGTAGTGAATGAGACCCCACAAGTCTCCAAAATACCAACAGTACGGAGTATTCTCTGACACCTGTCCAAAAAGTCCTGAGCATCCTCTCTCTATGCCACCGAAAGGTGGTGGCTGGAGTCTCCAAAACCTCTCCAACCTACGCTGATCATCCTCAGACATAGAAGGAATCACATAATCCTGAGCAACTACAACCGGCTGGGCTGGTGGTGCCTTCGGTGTCTGAAGTCCCTGAACAACCTGCTCGGGTATGCGAGCGACGGGAGTCTGAGTGCCTCCCCTGGCCTGAGAAGTGGCTGCGGCCGTCGAAATAGAGACCGCCTGAGCAAGGCCATTACACACTGTCAGAATCTGAGGTAGGGCCTCCTGAAGGCCTGTAATCACAATAGGCACAGGTGGTGCCCGAGCTGGTGCATCAACAATTGGAACCTGGTCCTGATCTGGGACAACCGGTGGGTCTGCAGGTACTGCCCCAGCTGTTGTACGGGCTGCACCTCTGCCCCTACCACGGCCTTTACCGCGGCCTCGGCCTCTCATGGCCCTGGCTGGTGGTACTTGTGGCGGGCCCTCCTGACCGGTAGCACGAGTCCTCACCATCTGTGAGAGAATGAAACAACAGATGTTTAGTTACTAGAATCAACAGATTCGCACGACAAGAATTCAAGAATGTGAAGTTTCCTAAAGGTTCTGCAGCCTCCTGAAGATAAGTACAAACGTCTCCGTACCAATCCGCAAGACTCTACTAAACCCGCTCATGACTCGTGAGACCTATGTAACCTAGGCTCTGATACCAATCTGTCACGACCCAAACTAACCACTGTCGTGATGGCATCTATCGTGGAATTAGGCAAGCCGACTCATTTCCAAAACAAACCGATATTTTTATTTCAAAGATAATTTCAATGTTATTTAATATAAAAACCTTCATAAAGGAGTTCAAATCAAAATAAAAATGCGGAAGGAAAAGCCCGACATCGGGGTGTCACTAGTCATGGGCATCTACTACAATCTATCTAACAATATCAAGGTTAACTCGGCCTCGAAAATAGCTAAATACAACTAGAGAAAGATAAGAGGGAGAAGAGCAGGGGCTGCGATCGCCAAACAGCTACCTTACTATCTCCAAGAAAATCTGCAACCAGAACAATTAATAACCGCTACCGTGTCCAGCTACACCTGAATATGCACACAAGGTGCAGGGAGTAACGTGAGTATGCCAACTCAGTAAGTAACAATAATAAATAAAGACTGAGCAGTAGTGACGAGCAATAAAGCATACAACATTCATATCGGGAAAACTTAGTAAAATACCACATGCTTTTAAAATCAGGATTTGAATAAAAACATATAGTTTAAACCCAGTTCCACTAAAAATCATTTAAATATATTTTTTAATAGTTTTCAAATAGAGGAAAAATGCAAAGGTGAGCAAAATGGTGAAATCATAAACAGCCCCTCGAGCAAAACATCACTCATATACAGCCCCTCGGTCAAACCTCACAGTCATTCGTGCCACTCGGGCATACCTCACAATCACTCTTGCCACTCGGGCATACCTCACAATTACTCATGCCTCCCAATCACTCAGCACTCGGCACTCGGCACTCTGCACTCGCACTCAGTAGGTACCTACGCTCACTAAGGGTGTGTACAGACTCCGAAGGGGCTCCTTCAGCCCAAGCGCTATAATCTGCACGGATAATTCACGTGCTGCATGGATAACTCACATGCTATAATAATAAAGTATGCTGTAGGCGGGCAGCCTCGATCCACACTCATCCTCACAAATCAGGCCCTCGGCCTCACTCAGTCATAAACCTCTCAAGCCACTCGGGCATTTCAGTAAAACAGGGCATTCGGCCCAAAACATTTATATGCATCAAAATAGAGTCATAAAACTGAGTTACACGGTAAACAAGTATAAGCATGATTGAGTATGGATTTTCAATCGAAAACAATGAGAGGATGGTAAAAAAAAAAAAGCCCCTAAGGGTCCAAACAACACTGACACAAGGCCCGAACATGGCATTTAGCCCTAATTTACAGACACTCTTTCTAAAACATATAAGTATCATATAGTTTCAACAAAATATGTAACTTTACAGTTGCTACGGGACGGACCAAGTCACAATCCCCAACAGTGCATGCCCACACGCCCGTCACCTAGTATGTGCGTCACTAAAAATAGTAGAATGATACAAAATCCGGGATTTCGTACCCTCAGGACTAGATTTACAATCGTTACTTACCTCAAACCGGTCAAATCTCTATCCCGTAATGCTCTTGCCTCTGGACTCGGCCTCCAAATGCTCTGAATCTATTCACAATCAGTACAATACCATCAATACGCGCTAATGGAATGAATTCCATAAGAAAAGCTACAAAATTAGACCAAAACCTGAAATTGGCTCAAACCCGGCCCTCAGGCCCACGCCTCGAAATCCGATAAAATTTATAAAACTAGAAAGCTCATTCACTCACGAGTCTAACCATACCAAATTCATCAAAATCCGACATCGTTTGGTCCTTCAAATCCTTAAATTACTCTCCAAAAATTCCAAGCCCTAACCCCTCATTTTCACTAATTATAATGATTAAACAACGAAAAATCACCATATATACAAGTATTAGGGCTCAAGTAACTTACCTCAACGAATTCCCCTTGATTCCCTCTTCAAATCTCTCCCAAAAGCTCCCAAAACCGAATAGAAATGGTGAAGAATGCACCAAAATTCGCGAAGTGTGCAATATGTACCCTCTGCCCAGACTCCTCGCACCTGCGGCCATTTTCTCGCACCCGCACGACCGCACCTGCGGTCCAAGGAGCCGCACCTGCACAACTCACTTACGCACCCAGAATCCGCATCTGCGGCAAACCCATCGCACCTGCGAAGGCGCACCTGCGAAGGCGCACCTGTGTGTTTCCTCCGCTTTTACGAAGCCTGCCCAGCATTTCCCTTCTCCGCATTTGCGCCCCAGGTTTCGTACCTGCGGGCTCGCAGATGAGACCTCCAACTCGTACCTGCGTATCTTGCCTAGCCCAGCATTGCCCGCACCTGCGCACTCCCCACGCGCGCCAGCAGCCTTGCACCTGCGAGGCTTTCTTCCGCAGGTGCAAAAATAGCAGTAGCAGTAGCTCCAGCTGCATTTTGCAGCTTCGACAAATCCGTTAATCACCCCGAGGCCCTAGGGACCTCAACCAAAAATGCCAACAAGTCATATACCAATATACCAACTTAGTCGAACCTTCGAATCACTCAAAACTATATCAAATCATCAAATTACCCTCGGATTCAAGCCTAAGAACTTCTAAATTTCCAAATTCGGCAACCGATGCCGAAACCAACCAAACCACGTCTGAATGACCTCAGATTTTTCACACACATCACAAGTGATACTACAAACTTACTCCAACTTCCGGAATTCCATTCCGACCCCGATATCAAATTTTTCACTGCCGACCGAAATCGCCAAATTTCCATTTTCGCCAATTCAAGCCTAATTCTACCACGGACCTTCAAATCACATTTTGGATGCACTCCTAAGTCCAAAATCACCTAACGGAGCTAACAGAACCATCAGAATTCAAATCCGAGATCGTTTACATATAGATCAATATCCGATTGACTTTTTCAACTTAAGTTTCTAGTTAACAGACTAAGTGTTTCAATTCACTCTGAAACTACTCCGGTCCCTAACCAACTAACCCGATATAACATAATATAGCTGAATAACATAAAAAAAAGTAGAAATGAAAAAAATGGGGCTATAACTCTCGAAACGACCGACCGGGTCGTTACAACTTATTACCCCACTTTCTTCCAATTTAATTCAAGGAAGAGTTCCTACACCTATAAATATGAGTCTTTCTTCCATAATGTGGTGTGAAAAATAATTATAGAATATTTCAATAAAGTGAGATTAAAGCTGTGAAAGAAGAAGAAGAAGAAGAAGAGAGTTTTTACTTTTGTTGAAGGAAGGTGTTCATCTTGGTGGAGCTTTGAACTCAACAATTTCTCTAGAGTTTATTCGAGTCATACGACGTGATCAGGCTATTGTATCCTGGGGGAGATAAGTAGGAGGATTACTACTAGACCAGTGGAGAAATTGCTACAGTGGGATTGAATCTCCTTAAAGAGAGTGAGATATCCGTACCTCAGCCTGAAGATATTTTATTTTCTTCATTTTATTTTTCAACTGTAATTGTATTTTCACCAACACATAGCTTTAAGAGTTACTTATAATAGATTATAAAGTAAAAATAAAAATTATATAACCTTACACAAAAACGAATTTAGCATATTTATTTCATTATTTTGATGATTTGCCTATTTAAAGTACTAGAGAGTACTCGTTTAAATAAATCAGAAAAACATCGCATATATTTCTCATCAACTATGAAAAATAATATTTAACCTTAAATACCAGGAAAGCCCCATCAAATCCTAAATTATGCAACAAAAAAAAACTACACTAGAGATGAAAAAAATAAAAGAAATAACACCTCAAAAAACTACACCACACTCTAAAAATATATCAAAAATAGCAAAAACTACAAAAATATACTCCTAGATGTGAGTTCCCTCTAAACCCCTTATTTTTTACAGTTCTCATCAAATCTAATAGACATATTTTGTTAAATATTTGACTTTGAGACCAAAAGTGTTAAATTATGGCAAATTTGATGGACTAAAAATACTCATAGCATAATTAAGGGGATTACTTTGAATCTATACTCAAGAATAAGGGACCAGTTTTGTCATTTTCTGCTGACTCATACATCTCATAAAATTTATACGAGGTATAATATTTTAGAATTAAACTGTTCATAATCTTCATTTGCTCCTCCGTCGGCTATGAGAAACTAATCAAACTATCTCCGCCCCTTCCGACGAACGGACCTTCAATTTCAAAGGTACCTAACTATTCGCCCTTCACTCCATTTTTATTTTTATTTTAGGTAACTATTTAGCTAATCTAGTGATATTCGAATTATGAAGATATATATTGAGGCATTGAATATTTTCGGATTCGATGTTTGATTGTATAGCTTTGCTCAATTTAATCTGAAAGTTTGCTCCTTTTTTTCCTATCAAATTCTGAATTGAGCGCTGTTGCTTTTGTGGTGGCGAGTTCGCATTGTGGTTCAGTTTTTATGGTTTTGAGTTTGTACTTAGAAACACAAAAGGAATGAGGATAGTTTTAGTAGCGCATATGCTGGGAGAAATGCATTGAATCTTCTGAAACCTAAGTATATATGTGATATATGAGTTTTTGTACTTATCCTCTTCATCTGCTTGTTTGTTATTTTTTTAAAAGAAAAACAATGGCTTTTCCAGATATAATGCATATTTAGGTGTATCACAAAACTGAATGAAATAGTTGGTTTTAGGAGAATCGGTAGCTGTTTTGATTTTCTGAATATGTTCTTAGAGTTTCAGATGATAATTTGCAAAAGGTATTAAACTTATCATCTGTTATACATTTGAATTCCAATATCCACATATCCATCATATATCCAATTAAAGATCAATTCCCTCTCTCCCCCTCTCCAAAAACTCTGATGTAATATGGCTTCCACTTTGTTCTCTGCACCAACATTCGGAGGTCTTAGACCCCTCAACAAACCAACTGATACTTGTCTTTTCCTCAACAAAAAGATCAATTCCTACAAACCCATGAAGAAAAGATGCAATCTTGGTGTTAAAGCCGAGCTCAACACATCACTTGTGATTAGGTTGAGCACAGGACTGTCACTTTTCTTGGGAAGATTTGTTTTCTTTAATTTCCAAAGAGAGAATGTGGCCAAACAGGGATTGGTAGAGCAAAATGGAGTTAGCCATTTTGAACCTAGTGATTCTAGAGCCAAAGAATATGTTAGTCTGCTTAAATATAATTACCCTGTTGGATTCAACATAGTTGATGTTCTTGCTTGGGGCTCTATTGGCCATATTATTGCTTATTATGTTCTTGCCACTTCTAGTAATGGTATGATCCTAAGTTCTTTGGTTGAAAGAGAAAAGAATCTTCTTGTTGATTTGTACTCTTCCATTGACATGGCCTTGTTTGTAATGCAGTAGCTTAAGCTTGTATATTGGCAAAGAATTATTAGTACTGCATTTTTCATTTTTTTGTTCATCCATGATTTCAATATATTTGTCTTTAGTTTCAATTCAAATTTGAGGTTTATGATTAGTTCAAAAGTATAGTCCCAAACTATAGTAGTATTTATTATACAGTTGTCAATATATTTCAACGGAAACGAATACTCCCTCGGTTACAATGTATGTGATGTGGTTTCAGGTTTGACTCGGCACGTAGTTTAAAGAAAAAAAAAGAAAACTTTTGAAACGTGTAGTCTTAAACATGTGTGGTTATAAGACATTTGAAATTTAAGGTCAACACCTTCTGTTTGTGCTTGCAAATGGTATAGGAGTTCAATTTTCCATTGGTAAACTCCTTCTTTCTCTCATGTTATTAGTTTTGTACCGGTTATTGCTTAATAGAATTTGATGAGGGTGCGTTTGGTACGAGGAAGATGACTTACTGGAAAATGTTTCCATGAGTAAATCATTTTATGGTATTTGGTATGATGGACATCATCTTGTATGGTATTTTCCATCAAAAGAAGGAAAATGACTTGTCTGATCGCTAATGGCCGGAAGTCATTTTCCTTACCTCTATATTAACTTTTATCTTCATATTACTTCCATACAACAAACTCCTATTGCTGCATTTGCTATATAACAGGCATGGCAAATGCAGCAACAATAGAGGCAGAGCTAGCATGTATTATAAGGGTTCAGATATGAATTACATAAGCAAAAAGCTCTCTACATGTTATTCATAAGAATGCTTTATTGAGAACCTATATAACATAAACGATAAAATAACCAAAAAGAGAATCTCTAATAGAGCACAACTCTTTAACAACCTCCTTGATATTTTTTCTTTCACTTGTATCAGACATACATTGAACAAGCAGCTCCAACTCCAATTTAGGAGACTAAAACCCTCGCAATTTTGTGCCTTCTCATGAAGCTTGGAATTCGAGAGCTCTGATCTCTGCTTATGATCATTTCCTCTTCCAAGTTAAGAACTGGATCCACTATTTCAAATGCTCCATCACCATCAGGTATGGCATTCTTGACTAAATCATGAAGGCTTAATTCACCACCGAACATGCCATCTGTAGGCTTTTTCCCTGTGAACATTTCTAGTAAGAGAATACGAAAACTATACACATCACCATGCTTTGATGGATTGCTTCCCATCCCATACTCTGCAATGGAAATATATATCACAAATCATTAGACCATCATTAGAATTATTATGGAATATGATCATGTATTATGAAATTACCTGGAGCTGTGTAGCCATAGATCCTTAACAATTGTAGAGCTTGTCTGAATTCCAGATGTTTTATTAGTCAGTAGTAGGAAACGTGCCAATCCAAAATCACCAACATGGGCAACCAATTCATCGTCAAGGAGAACATTGCTCGGTTTGAGATCACAATGAACTATTGGTATCTGACAATCATTATGAAGATAATGGATTGCACCAGCAATATTGAGCCATTGCAGAAACCCCAACCTTCTAATTGGCTGAACATCTGCTCTTGAATAATCTGGATGTAGCCAGTCCACCAAACTTCCATTGGCCATAAGCTCATAAACCAAAGCCTTGAAGTCATTTCCACGATAATCAACACAGAACTGCAGTGATTAGCTTGACTAAATTACAATGTCTAATATTTCTCAGGGCCTCACATTCTGCTATGAAACTTTTGATAGCTCCATGCTGTGAAAGATTCAACGCTTTTATAGCAACATGTTTACCTTCATACGTTTCAACTATTCCCTTATAAACATATCCATGACTCCCAACACCAATCAAGTTGTTCGCGATAAAACCCATTGGTAACTTTGAGAATACTTTGGTAGGACATAGATAGGAGTTGGTTTAGCTCTTTATCTAAAGAGGAAATGTTTGTTTGGTCCTTTGGAATCGATAGAGGAGACGGGAACCAACCATAACAACTAGCCCCAAAATCCCCAATATTAAGGATGTCATGACAAGCTTAAAGTTAAGCTTGTTTGAATGACTGAAGAAATTGCACCTGGGAAGTTTTAGTCCAGTTACACCACCACAGGTTCTAGGATTTCCAATCACAGAAACAACGCTCACATTCTCAAAGTGAAAGATGCTCTTTCTGGAAGGGCGCCTTCAAAATCATTAAACGACAAGTGGAAGGAATAAGCCCCTGGAATAAATTTCTTCTCATTATTAGATCAACCAATGTCGCACAACTGCCAAGGGTACTGGGAATTTCACCACTTAGACTATTCAACGAGACATCTAATGACATGATGTTGTTAAGGTTATTGAGCTCTTTTGGGAGGGATCCAGTGAAGTTGTTTCTAGAAATGTTTAGAACAACCAAGGAAGAGAGGACATATATTAAATTGTTTTGGTTCAGGGTAAGATATAGCAGATTTTGACATTTTGCAACACTTTTGAAGGTATTCTACCTCTAAGGTTGTTATGATCAAGATTTAACTCCGTTAAAAGGCTCGAATTTGCAATGGAAGAGGGTATAGTTCCCGTGACCATGTTCTGTGACAAGATTAAATATCTTAGCTTATAAAGCTTTCCAATAGTTGGTGGAATGATACATGTGAGTTGGTTTCTGCTCAGCCTAAGTTCTTCCAGGTTAACAAATTTGTCCAGAAAATCGATTGCTTGACAAGTCGACAAAGGCAAGATTACCCAAGAGGTTTCTGAAAAACTCATGAAATCTCCCTCCAAATGCATTGTTTTGCAGATACAGACGTTTCAAGTTAGTTGCATTGGTTAAGGAGGAAATGAAGCTTGAGTCATCAGGTTTGCCTCTCTGTCATATTATTGTGATATTCAGTAGTAGTATCTGGTTTTGAGGGAGAATTCAGTGTGAAAATCAATAGGAGAAGAAAGATCTCATCAAGATAAAAGGCCATGGTTTTTGATACATTCTGTAGAGCTTCTTAAATGTTCTTTTGTTTGAAGGTGGTAAACTCTATACAGCATATATATATAGGTCATAAGCTGTTTATTTTTTAATAAAATCAAAAATTTGACATAGTGTAAGTACTCCCAAGTTTGCCTGATCTATATTGAAAAGTCTAATAAACTCAAAGAGACAATCGAGTCAAGTTGCTAAATCTTTTGTTGTTGGAAGTTGATCCAAAAAGTTTATCAAAGTTGAACTGAAAGTAGTAGGCCTCAAATTCATCATTCTACACTAATGCAATTGATATATTGCTTCTAACACTGGAATACCAACGGCGTCGAAACTAGAATTTTTAGTAAGGGGATTTAAAATATAAAGAAGTAAATAGCGAAAAAACAAGAGATATTCAATATCTACTAGTATATATATATAAATAAAAAAATTGACCTTGTATATACATTGTAATTTTTCCAAGTTGCACCTCTTAGTTTTGCCCTTGAATGTTGGGGAGAGAAGGAAGATTCTGGTTTCGAGACTGTTCATTTGGACATATTTTGATTACAAGTAATTCGTTTCAAATCATGTGTTAGGACTTTTTTTTGGCTCATACTATGAAAGTAAGATAATATTCTTGGACTATAGAATGTAACTCCTCGTTGAAAAAAGAAGAAGAATATAACTCGTCATTTCCAAATTATTGTTAGCTTTCACGTCCGCGAGATCAATTTACGTAATATTGACAATTTTAAAAAATAAATAAATGAATTGTTGTACCTTTGGTCTAATGCTTCTATGTTTGTACATCAGTATTTATGAAAAGAAGAATCTATTTTTACTTCCTTAAAAGTTCTTTTTTTTCTTCAATTGATTTTCCAAAGAAAGCGTTGGGACATAACAAATGTGAGATTTGGGAAATAATAATTTTTAAAGTTAAGTTTAAAAAAGATATAGAAAATTGAGTCAAGAAGATGAAAAGTATACAAAACATTGAAATATAATAAGTACTTCTAAGACTAAATGTAGTAATATTGAGAAGTCTAAAATAAAAGGGACAACTTTTCAAACTCAAATTCTTGGAAAATGTTTGGGGCAAGAATCTGTGATCCAAGAAGAACCAATGAAACAAAGCCAACTCACCATCCAAAATCTTTCTTTGCCTCATTCCTATCCTCACAAAATCTATTTCTTTTCTCCCAAAGCCTTTCCTAGAGTATAAACCTCATCTTTGAACTTTTCCAATTTCCAATATCCAAATTAAAGATCAATTCCTCTTCTCCAAAAAAACTCTGCTGCAATCATGGCTTCTTCTTTGTTCTCTACACCAACATTTCAGGGTCTAAGACCTCTCAACAAACCAACTGATTCTTGTGTTTTTCTCAACACTAAGGCCAATTCCTACAAACCCATGAAGAAAAGATGCAATCTTGGTGTTAAAGCTGAGCTCAACACATCTCTTGTTATTAGCTTGAGCACAGGACTATCACTTTTCTTGGGAAGATTTGTTTTCTTCAATTTCCAAAGAGAGAATGTGGCCAAACAAGGGTTGCCTGAGCAAAATGGAGTGAGCCATTTTGAAGCTGGTGATTCCAGAGCTAAAGAATATGTTAGTCTGCTTAAATCTAATGACCCTGTTGGTTTCAACATAGTTGATGTTCTTGCTTGGGGCTCAATTGGTCATATTGTTGCTTACTATATTCTTGCCACTTCAAGTAATGGATATGATCCTAAGTTCTTTGGTTGAAGAAGAAAAGAGTAGTCTTGTTGATTTCTATTTCCTTGTTTGTAATACAGTAGCTTATTTGGACAACTTTTACCTTATGAGCTAGCTTTGGCTGAGAAATGATTGTAAAAGAGAGAGGTTGTCTTGTTGATTTCTCTTCCATCGATTATATAATAAGCCTTGTTTGTAATGCAGTGACATCAATTTTAATTTTAGTTTGAGGTTTTTAGTTACTTCATAACTATAGTTGCAGGATACCACACCAAAGGATGTGGTGCTGTGGATGAGGCTGCTCTTTCCATAACCAGAGGTCTCGGGTTCGATCCCTGATTATGGAAAAATTCTTGGTAGGGGCGCTTCCTCCGAATGAAGCCCTACGCGGCGCGAATCCGAATATAGTCGGACTCCAATGCGGGTACCGAACACTGAATACCGGGTGGGAAACCAAAAAAAAAAAAAACTATAGTTGCAGGATGAAAGGAAAGGAGAATATTGACCCAAAAGGGTAAAAAGAAAAAGGGATACGAAATAGAAAAGTATTCCATCCATCAGTAATTAAATGTATTACAAATTTGCAATCAACACTCGTATAATATGACCCAGTTATGGATACATCTCTTATAATTATAAAGAAAATGCCTGATAATTGTATTGATTTATGAACAAGCGGAGATTACATGTTTTTGCATAGAAACAATAAGCCGTTGCGCAAACATAGCTCTGCCAGAGATAGAACCCACAATAGTGATATTAACAATAAACCACCAAGATTGCACAATTTGTAAGCAAGTGAAGATGTAGCTGCTATTAGAGCTGCAGTCCAATGTTTTTGGAAGAAAGCACATACCAAAATATGCAAGATTTTTAACAAGATTTCCCCTAGAGTTCATGCACTTGGGGCTATATTTTTCGATCCTCCAAAAATGCCGTTGACGAAAATGATTTATTTGATATTATGGATGACTGGTTACAGAAGGACCGTTTTGTTTTTTAGGCTCGTCTAGTCTATTTCTCTTTCCTAGGGCCTATTTTGTTGTAGGGGGTTGGTTCACAGGTACTAACTTCATGCTATACCTATGGATTGGTTAGTTCTTATTTGAAAGGCTGTAATTTCTTAACTACTGCGGTACCGATTCGATCCGAGCTCTTGGAATTGGAATAAATACGACAGCGAATCGCGAAATCTTAATGACCTTCTCTATATAATGAATGGGGTGTCCGCTTTAAAATCGTTCGCCCTGCACCCAACCCTGAGTATATGCTTCAATAGGAAAACAAAATTGATTCAAATAAAGATTTCTTTGGTGCCCTATATCAATAAAAGTAAAAGAAAAAACATACGGGCGAAAAAAAGATACCAAAGTAATGTTGTATCGGGCTACCTGTCTTTTTGTAGTTGGATCTCCAAGTTTTTGGAATGCTCCAAATTCGACTTTGAACATCTAAATTTAGGTCAATACCATCAAAAGGAACCTTTGATACAAATAGACGCGTCAAAAGTTCCATATAGATTATTTCTTAATCCAATTTCTTCCAAATTCATTAAAATTTCATGTACCTATTCTTGAATGCCAGTTACGGTAATATATTCATGCGAGATTTTTTCAAATTTTACACGTGTGATACATGTTCTTTCTATTTCTCCAAGTAAAGCTCTTCGCATTGCAATGCCATAGTGCTGGCTTGGCCTTTTATGAGTGGAGACAGAATAAAGCATCCATAATAAAGGCTTTTGTTGTTTGTTCTTGATTCAGCACACTTCTATTGTAGTGACCGAGTATCAACTTTCTCTCGAACAATAGTACTATCATTCACACTCATTTCAGATCTTTCAAAACTCAATATCTTTAGAAAAATCCGACACACATCCACTGACGTCTTTGAATGATTCGAGCAACATGGCTTGGGTTCCTCAACATATGCCATTGTGGCAGTCCAAATGATCAAGCCTTTTTTCTAAAAACATGTAATGTCAAAACTTATCTTTAGTTTATTTCTCTATAATAATTAAACCTCAATCTCAAACATGTTGGAAGCGACTATATAAATCCTCAACATCCATTTGGTTTCATTCCATCCATTTCATATAGTACTTAAATAACTTGGGATTTTAAACACAAGTTCTCCATATTTTCTAGTTGATATAATCAAGCTTCAATCTCAACTAGTTGATATCGCCTATATCTATCTTTTGCTTTCACTATGTTCCGTTCGCTGCATAATCTCTAAAAGATTTTAGGCCATATGTGACTTAGATCTATCCTGTCCCTTTTAACACATTGAAAACAGTTTGACACCCTCGAAATTACAATTTCCTAGTCCCATCAACTTCTGTGTTGGTCACCTGTAAGTTGTAAGCACAAGCTTAACAAAGGGAAAACAAAATGTTCCGACCTAGGATAATAAGCTCATGAGCTTGGTCTTACTCCACCGTCGAGAAAGAAAAGAAACATTGTGGTCAAATGCAAATCAATGAGTCAACTTTCAGTTTGAATCAAGGTAACAAATACATGATGAAATCGCCCCACCCCCACAAGATCACAGTTCTGGCCTATGCCTTATGGAAACAACACTTTGCTTTCTTGTTCACATGACTGGAGTTCCTCTCGCTTCTATACATCTCTCCATTCTACATCTCCTGACACTTGAAATGGTGCACAACAATTTATGCGACAAACGTAAATTGCACAACATAAGAAATTTACAGCCAAGTCAACTACTAACTCCTATGCTACTGGTTTACAAAGTTAAAGCCAGAGCCACCTTGAAGCCAAGTAAACATACCCGAACCAGCATGCAAAGTGCTCAGATTATTGTGTCATGGTATGTGTAGTTATGCCGTCGTCCAAACTCCAGAAGGCTACCATATGTTCGATCCCAAACTCCAACGAAAAGGGACTCTGTATCAGGACTAAAAGACAGACCTGATATCTCACCAAAGAAATCAATTTCTTGCTCCTGCTCATATCCACTTTTTACATCAAAAACATGAACGAAATCTGCAGGTTCTGCCATAGCCATAAATCTGCCATCAGATGTGTAGCGGATTGACCGAATAGCTCCAAGGTTACCCTTCAAAGCAACAACTGATTTCGACAAGTTCCGTACGTCCCATACTCTGCAGGTTTTATCTTGGTTCCCAGTTGCAAAAGTTAGCCCATCAGGATGCCATGCTGACGCAAACGAGAAGTCACCATGTCCGCACAAAGGTGAAACAATCTGTAAGCATTAAATTTGATTACTGACTGGTGCATCAGATATTGAACAATTCTGATAAATTGAATCATGGGAGATAAATGCACAAGTACCTTTGCATTTCTGGAATCAACCAATAAACCGTCAGGATTATCTCCAACTATTGCGAGAAGCTTACCGTCAGGGCTCAGTGATGCATGCTGCAAGGGAAAATAAAGTAAGTAACACCTTATTATGGAAATAAAAATAAAAGGAAAAAAGAAGTTAATACCACCAATGGAGAGTTGTATGAAGATAAGACTTATGTTAATCAATATAAGATAAGTGATTAGAATAATATCTGTAATCAAAAACCCTAGATTGAAACTATTGAAGCATGAGAAAGAGAAAGGTATTTTTTAATTTCAACCTAAGCTATTCATAAATTATAATTTTATTTTGAAAAACAATAAAAATTAGTAAATTATCAGTAATGGCATGCACTAGTAGCACATAATTAGGAAACCTTCTTGGTATATATCCACTATGACATATACATTTTGGGGCATGTGTGCACCCATAAACACATGCAATACAGACTTACATTCACTGGCCAGGGAAAACGGAAATGCTTGGACAGTTGAAATTTCTCCATATCAAAATCTCGAACTCCAGAGTCGTTATTTGAAGCTATAAAATGAAGTGCACCACTGAGGAGCAAAAGATATCTCAGTTAACTTCATTCTCACTAAGAAATAGCATGTTTCGGGAGTATGTAGGATAAACATAATACCTGGCAGTGTTATAAATCTCAACAGCATTAGTAATTGCATTGTCATCATATGTTGTCCGGGAACAGAAGCAAACTCCAGGTCTGTCTAAATACTGCATATAGTTTCAAGAACAATTAGTGACTAGGGAAATAGTTTCACTTTCTGAAGGTGAAGATAAAACTGCAAACTCAGCACCATGACCCAAACGTAACTAGCGCAAATTCAGAAGTGCAGGTACATGCTCCAGTTGTTGATGCCCAAAAAAACAAGGAGTAAAAAGGTCCAAACCAATCAGAGGGAATTTGACACACCTTGCAAATAAGTTCTCCTTGAAATCCCCCAGCTACAAGCAACTTGTCTTTCACCGTAAGAGTGCTGACTTGAGTCTGTGTAAATCCTTCTAAAAGGCTACCGGGATGCTTCTACAATGCCAAAATAAAAAGAAAAAGGTCGTAACCAAGTTTGCCTGAAACAAACCAGTGACTTCCACGTTCAGAACACCTACCTCACATGGTGCTACATGCCCTGATACATTCAGAACTTCAGTTTTTCTACAGGTCAAGGATGACCAATGAATGACGGAAAAATGGGACATAAGGTACACGTCATGCTTGGAGGTTGCCCAGACCAAGTTCCTCAGCTATATTATGAAAAATAAACAAGCTTCAGATTTATTGTGGCAAAATCATAAGTTAACGTGGCTAAAAAAAAAAAAAAAATTTAAATGACATGCACGATTCTATATCAGCAAATACAGATCATATGGTTTATCCAAGTCACTTGGTTTGATATTCAGCCTAGTTCAATCACTCCATAATAATGACGTCTTCAAGAAACCCTCAAACATATTCTTAGCCTAGTCCCTTCCATATAGAAAAGCAAAAGGTAAAGAGGGCTGTAACTATTACCTGGAAGTGTAAAATTGTTGATTTAACAGATCTTGAATTACGTCTGAAGTCATAGTACGAAGCCTCTTTGTTTGTGGCTTTGCAGTCCTGTTGAAAGCAAAAGGATAGAGCCACCCATGTTCCCATTAGACACAAACGGCGTCACTCAGACCAATTAGGAAATAAAAAAACACATCTATTTTACATTTTTACCTTCTCTGATGCCTCCCCAGATTGCGGAACATTTTCATAGTTCTTATATTGCTCTAATCTCGTTTGCCTGTATTTCTCCCTGGTTATGCTAAGCCTTTCCCAGGGAATCCCTTGAATGTCTCTACCTCTCCTTGCCTCGGCAGCAGAGGTATCTTGCATTTTATTATTCTTCAAGAAGAA